AGCCATCAAATATGTATATGGCATTGGCACCCTGGGGTTGGGAGTTTTGAAAGTCTTGTGACCCTCGGACTCCACTTCTGTAACACCAACAAAGTCGGAGGCCAACTCCCGCAGTCCGTACTGTAGACAGCCCACCATAGCACTGAGGAGGCTCACAGGTCTCCCGTGCGCCAAAAGGACAGCTGGGTAGACCACCTCAACGGCAAGGGCATCGATCGGCCTAGTAGGGATGACACAGCATTTGAGCCACAGCATTAAGAATCCGGCTAGCAACGCTGTGTCGGAAATCGGAATCAGAGCTTGATAATGGAAGCTCTCGAACTCCGTATGAGCCGGGAAAACATCCTCTTTGGCCTCATTGGTGTAGTGAGAGGTAGTGTCGTCGATTCGAGCCTGAACCTCCTCCAAAGTACTGACAGGCAAGCGGGTCACTGAAGCTCCTTTAGTGGTCAAGTTATGGAATAAATATTCCGCCCAAGACACTTGCTTGATGCCGCCTCCACGGACCCCCGTCAGCTGCATGCAAATGTGGAAGTGACACATGACTTCCCAGAGAGTGGCATAAATTTCCGGACTGGTCTTCTTTAAAATTTGGAGCTCCGCCGATCCCGGAACAAACTCTTCATACGGCAAATCCCCGAGAACAAGACCCGAGACTTCATGCATCTCGTGAAGAGCGAAGCCTAACTCCCCCACAGGGGTGAAGAAAGTGCAACTATCAGGGTTATACTTCTCCAGTATAGAGAAAAAGTGAAAGTGGCTCTGGACGATTCCAAGCTCAGTAGCCCGCACAGGAACCAGCAGTCCAGCTTGAGCGAGGGGAGCTTCCAATTCCTTCAGAACAAACTTGATCATCTGAGCCCACCATCCCGCCGCTGGAGAATGAACCCAGCCAGGAGTTCTAAATCCTTGTGCAGGGAACTCTCCCTTCTTTTCCAAGAACCTCTTAACAAAGGTTTTCGCCGGACTGGGCACTTCTCCAAGGGGATACTCCTTAGCGAATAAACTCGGCAGCAAAGTTGTCACCTGCCGATTATAACCAACGGTGAGGACCCCATGGAAAGTCAGAGTTCCGAGAGCAACCCCATCTTGATCCTTAACCAGGGGCCAATCTATACGCCTCGGGACAGAAGCGCATTGGAAATAAGATATGGGGAACATTCTCTCCATGTTGGGCAAGAAAAGGTTGCGGTCATCAACTCTCCGCAGCCACTTATAGTCCCCATCATAAGCAGTGCTTGCGTTGAAGTCAACAAAGTCCCCGAAGAGATATCCAGGTTTGGTTATGGGCTTACGGCTTGGGCTTTCAAGTCGAGCGTCCGAAACCAACGTCCTGAGAGTGTCATGAGAAGCTTGGGTGATCAGTTCCACGCGACTCTTCTCCCTCATCCGAAAAACCGGGAGTTCTAATCGCGAGCTGAAGGTTAAGTTCATGTCTGCACCACCTTCATGTCCAAAATAATGGCGAAAAAGAAGAGGCTCGCTGGCATGGCGTACTGCAAAAAGAGGAAAAGAATTAGACAACTCAAAATCAAAGTTCAGACGCGAAGGTCGAACCCCGCGTCAGACAAGTTCAGACGCGAAGGTTGAACCCCGCGTCAAACAAGCACAGACGCGAAGGTCGAACCCCGCGTCAGACAAGTTCAGACGCGAAGGTCGAACCCCGCGTCAAACAAGCCCAGACGCGAAGGTCGAACCCCGCGTCAGACAATCTCAGACGCGAAGGTCGAGCCTCGCGTCAGAAAGTTCAGACGCGTGGGTCGACCCTCGCGTCAAAAATCTGAGACGCGGAGGTTAAACCCCTCGTCAAGAAGATTAAACGACGGGGTCCAGCCCCGCATTATGGGAACGAGTTTCTTCGTTAATTTCAAGATCAGAACTTGCCGGAGCAAGTTTAATGACCACGAAGGTCGTACTCACCACCGATCAAGGGGAGTTGGGGCGTCACATTCGCCTGAGCAGCGGCGCCACCGGTCGGCGCCGACGGTGTAGATCCTCGAGCCACGGCGGCATCAGGCTTAGAAGTGACGTCGGACTTGGAGGACTTCTTGGGTGCCATGAGATCTCGTCGGAGAAGATGAGCAGTTGCCACCGGAGAAGAAAACGAAATTTTTTCGTTAAATTTTCAAGAAAAGTCGAATGACTCTTGATTTGACCCCTAGCGGTCTATTTATAGACAGCTATGAGCTGTCAAATCCTAACGGACGGGATTCGAGGCCATCAGCCCGCCCAAGCTCGACCCTCGCGTTCGAGTTGATTCAGCTTCCAAACGCGATGCTCACCTACGCGTTCAAATTTGTCAACGCTAAGTTCACCCACGCGTTCCAATCCTCAAGTACAGAAAAGAGATCTCTATGTTTGGACCATTATGACAGTAATTTCTTGGTTACCAAGGCGACCAAAGCCAGGAAGAAACAAACGACTCCAGTGAGATTACAGTCAACAACGGCGAAATCATCTGACTCGATCAGGCGGAAAGAGCAATCAATCCACCAAATTCTGGGATCCAAAGTATTCCGAAAATTCGTACCAGTTAACCGCGAACTTTCGGAAACTTTGGAGGGGGTTCTGTAGGCTGTCTAAAAATCACAATAGATAGCTTATTCAAACAAGCTCCGACAACGGAGGTCACAAGCAGACGACTTCCCAATCACTACATCCGCAACTCCACAATCGCCACAAACGCGACCTCACTTCTGAGATGATTGATCTTGATGGCTGTGACAACAGCATGAGATGTTGATGAGCAATGGGATGATTTCAGAAATAAAAGGTTGGACTTAGTTGGTGAGTTGCTTGGTAGAGAGCTGAGAGCAAATATCCGTCTTTAAGACACTATGGATGTTGATTCCCGTCTAGCTCCTACAACGAAAGCTACAATCAAATAGTTTTCGGGTCGGTGAACGAAATTTGCGAATGGAGGGCTTTTCACATAGATCGAGAAGAGTTACAATTCAACGACACTTCTGACGATTGATGAAAACTCTATGCAGCAGTCTTCACAATCTACAGTGAAAGTTACAATCTGACGGCTTTCACACCCCACAACAGCTAAAGCTAGGATTATTGAACAACGGTCCTTGCAACGCTCTACAGAAGAAGTTACAAGTCAAATGGCTCCTTCTGAAACGCGGATGTCATCCCCGCGTCACCAAGTTGGAAATGAAGGCGACCCTCGCGTCGTCAATGCACAAGCCAAACGTGAGCGACCCTCGCGTTCAATGGTGTTCAACCAACAGCGACCCTCGCGTCGTCAATGCACAAGCCAAACGTGAGCGACCCTCGCGTTCAATGGTGTTCAACCAACGGCGACCCTCGCGTCGTCAATGCACAAGCCAAACGTGAGCGACCCTCGCGTTCAATGGTGTTCAGCTAACACCCAACTTCGCGTCTCAATTCAAAGAACACGAAGTTGGGTTCTGAACGCCAGATTGGGCGTTTGACTTGTTCAAACACGAGTCGAACGGTTTCAGAACCGTTTATCCCACGTTCTGAGGGATTTTCACCCACGTAGGAGCGGATATAGGGGTTAGTTACAACCCCTTATCCCCCTATAAAATATCAACAAACTCAACTGAGTTGTGGGTTGGATTTTTGGTATCTGAACCACAGGGGTCGGATTGGATTTTCTGGGCTCAGATCAGAGGCTATTGACTGGCTCGTTGAAAACCACTCTGGCTTGGAGATTCAGCAGCAACGAAATCCTTGGAGATAGGATTTTTGAATTAAACTCAGAAGATCAAATCTGAGAGGATTCTTCGACAACAGAGAAAAAACAGCTTGATCATTAACCGAATTTTCGGTTCCAACAACTCTATTCACAGAGTTCAAACTCGTTTAAAGTTCTTAAACTCATTTAGAGTTATTCATAAAACTTTCCACGAAAGTTCATCGTTCCCACGAGATAAAGACGGCCGGATCGTCAACGGAGAGCAAGTTCGACGCAATCAATCGAATGAAGCACTCCATCGCTGCCAAGAAGAACCCAGTTTTAAACAAAGGGGAAAACCAAATTCGTTTTCCTCTCTTTTGTAATCAAATTGTAACCGAGATCAAAGGAATCAAAGTCAAATTTTCTTTATTCTCTTCATTGCAATTTTCCCTACCTACAAGGGAATACACTAACCAACAAAATAATGAAGCTCTTCCATTGCTGCGAGATCCAGCGACTGCTTAAACTTGTTCTGCGTTACGTAAAGAAGCGAGCCCCATCAGGACTTTGAGAATAGGTGATTTGCTAAGAGTACTCAAATTATCATCAAGAATTGCTAATGCATTGTAAATATCATGTAAACCTGGATCGGTATCTAATCATTAGTTTCGTCGACTAATACAGTTCTCCTGTCACAACACGGTACCAGTAAGATCTACTAGTAGGAAGGTCCAGTCTATGTGCGGGGGCTGATAAGTATTAGCTAGCTCATGGCGTGCGGTCAAACGTAAAGGCAGGCTTAACTAGAAAATCATTGAACTCCATTTGCCCTTGCACAGAGCCATTACGCACAACCGGTCCCTATATATGAATCTTCTAAGTGGTCGTCGTCACCGTGATTGTCCTTTGTCTGATGCTCTGCTGAGTGCTGGATGTCTTTGCAGAGCAAGACCCACATTTATTCCACCACATAAAGTGTGTTGTTCCTCATTAGATCTTGGAGTAGTATATTTTTTTTACCTCAAAAGGTAAAAGCAACTGTTTTGTGTAAAAATTTCCAATCTGCCTACATTCTGTGGCCATCGTGACTTATGAGGGAGTATTTGTAGGTTGGCTTTCTACTTGCATAGTTTTCAACTCAGTTGGCTAAATATATATATATATAAATTCAACCCATTACCACTATGATTTCACAAAACCCACATAACTAATTAAACCCCTGTTATTATTTCACATATTTCATCATCTAGAGAAGTAAATAATAGACATCATCATACAAGCATAAGAGGGAAAGATCCAGCTGCCCATTAAAACATAGCCTTATTTTTTTAGTTTTGAACCTGCGTACCTTTTAATACTCAACTAAATCTGTCCAAATTCCGCAGAATCGAAGAAACCCCTTGGAAGGCAAACCCTAGTTCTTCATGCTTCGCTGAGGCTGCTTCCTGTAAATCCAGGAATTTAAAGAAAATAGACTAGGGTTTTACACTGGAAGATGGAAAGTAATTTAAAAGGTAAAATAAAAATAAAATATAAAAAGTAGAAGAATTGAGGTACCAATGAGAAGACAAAGACGATCAGGGGAACAAGGTCGAGAACCCACGGCCGAGGAATCTCTCGTCATTGATCAGGGATTCCTTTTGTATATCAACCCCTTTGCCCTTTTTTATTTCGAATAAGCTCTTTTTTTTTTGTTTAATTACTTTTTCTGAGGTAAATTTCACAGTAAAACAGCATTAGTTTTCGCAAATGACAAACTTTCGTTTTAGACCTCTTTAGAAATTTATTTGCAAAAAATAACCTATTTCGAAAATAATTACCAAATTCGGCTCAATTGTAGCCCAAGTGGCTGAATCTGAGTCGAATTTGGCGAAAAACTTAGAAAACTTCAGAGGATCTGAAGTCTCGTAAAGTTTAAGCCCACATAAGCAAGTTAATTAGGACATTAAACTTCACAGGACTTCAAGTCCCGTAAAATTTTCTAAGTTTTTTTTCGCCAAATTCGACCCAGTTTCAGCTGAAAACTGGAATCGAATTTGGCAATTATTTCGAAATAGATCGTTTTTTTTACAAATAAGTACCTAAACGGGACTATTTTAAAAATTTGTCCTTTCACAAAACTATTTTAAAATTTTCTAAGTCTTGTGTATCCTTATTACAGTAACATGTGTCGCAATGGTTTTGGTTCTTAAAGCAATAAAATCAAATCAAGTGAAATCCTAAACCATGTGGTAACTTAATTATATATGCCGGTCAGCAAGCTGAAGCATTCACTAGTGCTGATTTGTTGATTGCCAACTCTGCAGCGAATGACTCCGTCACAGATTAATTGAAACCTCCAACATTAAGGTAATTAACGGAGATGCATGTGGTGCAGGTGCACGAGGTTCACTTTCACATCGGGTGATAACGCAGGTTTGATTTGATTGGAAAACATGTCTCCATTGTTCGCAATGCCACAGACGTGCAGTGGACTCCCGGGAATGATGGACAACATTGTCTCTTCGCTGGACCTTGTTTAGACAATGAGGCTGCAGATCGCCTCTGAGTCAAATGATCAAATGTATGTCTGACGCCGCTTTAGAGGGATTGGAGGCGAACCTGCAAATTAAAAGCGAGATCTTTTGTAAAAGGTCTGGATGCATGGTTCTAATGAAGGTTGTGCGTACCTTCACGTACTACTGTTTGCAGAGTCCGGCCCCTTGTCTCCAGAAAACTTCCCTCTGGATTGCTGTCTCCTTACCACAGTTGGCTCCATCGGTTCTCGTGTTGGCATGGATCTTTCAGTGAATGTTTAGAACAATTAATGCATTCGATCTTTTGCGATGATTGAACTCTGATCCTGAGGATGCTGTGTCTTTCACAGGTCCAGCCTCGAGACTCATGTGATCAACATGTTGTTCAACTTGTTCTTCTTCAAGCGAGAGGACATGATGCGTGATGTGGCTTTAAGTCTGTTAGCACCTTTGAACGTTAGGGGAGCTCAGCGCATGTATTTTGGGACCCAAAAAATAAAAGACACATGAGCTATATATATATTATTAACCGTACGTGCTTCTAATTATGCATTGCTTATGTATTCAACTGGGGTATGAAACTTTTCTTATCACGTTTTGAAATAGATTCCATGATTTGATACAATGATGACTTTGACAGGAGAGTATTAAGCATAGCACAAATGAATATAGACCCCTATCTACACTGTGATAAGAATCAAGATATCAACTTTCGAAAACGACGGGACGGGGAAAATTAATTTGGAGCTCTTTAACTTGGGTTTTTTTAAAGAGGCTAAATGACATCTAAATACCACTTCTTATATATTGTTGTTTTTTAGCAGATAACTATGATAAGATGTTGTTTAGTACCTTTGATCATGCAAATGTGAAAATTTTCATCCAAATGTTTATCTATAATACTTATTTGCTAATTTTAGAGCTCTTTAACTATAAATATTTGTTAAATTTGCTACTAAATCTATCAATTTTTTTTTAAATTATCTTATTCTACTTTAAAATAAAGTTGAGATATATTTAATGATAAATTTAAGGGAAAAATGTGTCCAGACCCCAAAAGTGGGAACTTCGTGTGACTAGCCCCCCTGTACTTTGCCCCATGTGGAATAGCCCCAAATACGCATAGTATTTGCGACGAGGCCCCGAATTGACTCTTTTCAGAAAAAGCCCAGCGGAAGTTACTATCTTGCCCTCTGATGGGACTGAGCTGGGTTAATGTGCCCCTCACCTTTACAAGTACTCTCCCTCTCTTTCTCTCTCTTCCACCTAGCACCGTCATCAAGAACTCTTCATCTTCCTAATTTCTGTACGAATTTCAACGTTTCTAGGGTTTTCGCCGGAAAAATGTCGTCGTCTACGGAAAAATCCAGTAACGACTACGAGGTCGGGCACCGAGCCGAGTTGGAAGGAAAAGGCGCTTCATCTGCGGGTGGCAGCACGGAGGAAGCTACGGAAGCTACGAAAACCCTAATCGAAATGCAAAAGGAGGCATTACAATGGCGAGACCAGAAAAGGAGGACGACAATGGCTGGTCGTACCAACGAACCCCCCTCAAAAAAACAGTAAGTGTTATGTTATACTGCGAACAGACAATGCAGATTAACCCAATATTGTTAGTTCTAGGCTTATGTTATACTGCGAAGAGACAATGCAGATTAACCCAATATTGTTAGTTCTAGGCTTTGTCCAATGTTAGTTCTAAATTTATACCAACGTTAGATCTAGTTTAAGTCCAATGTTAGTTCTAATATGAGTCCAATGTTAGTTCTATAATATTACGTGTTAGCTCTATTTTGTTCCCGTTAGTGCTAGGTCTAATATTGTTTCATATGTCTTATTGAACTTACAAATTCGAAAATTTTTTGCAGGGAAAAAATTGCTCTAACAGGCTCAGCAGAAACACTAAGGTTAACGGCCAATATCGGGGCTTATTGGGCATTTATGAAGCGCCTTGCCCCGAAGATCCGTCAGTGGCATAGGGATGCATACTGCGGTTCTATATTTCAGCACTACATTTTGTTTGGGGCTCCTGCGGCTGATCGGCCCACCCTTGAGCTGCTGCTGAGCTTTTTCGATAGAGATAATAACACCTTTTGTATACCTGATTCAAAAAGTGGGGGTATGAAAAATGTTAGTTTTGATTTGCAATGGGTCCACAACCATACTTATTTCCCAATTTATGGGGAGGACATAAGGAACAATAGGGACTCAAGAAGCAGAATATGGCTGGAATACTTCGCTAAGCTTTTCATTTCTGAAGAGGGTAAGAAGTTAAAAAAATCAGAAACCAGCCAACGTAAACATCTTGAAGGGCTACTTGAACGGCTTGTTGAATCTACCAAAAAGCGGGATATCGAGGATTTTGCTCTGCTACAAATTTTGTACCAATGCTCTATGATATGGAGTCCCATAGCAGGGGAAGGTATCCCTAGACCCTTACTCAGATACCTGGATAGCATTCAGAGGGTCAATTCTGTTGCATGGGCCCCGTTCTTTTATAATGAAATTATCAGGGGCATTGGAGTTGCTTTGGAGGGAAAGAAGAAGCAAAAGGTCGCATATGTCCCAGGTTGCATGACACTATTGTGTGTAAGTTCCATATTTTACTGATCTTGTTTCATTCTAATTCGTACCTATGCATTGTTAGTTCTAACTTATTCTATGTTAGTTCTATTCTGTAGCGTGTTAGTTCTAATCTGCACAGTGTTAGTTCCGTTCTGTAGAGTGTTAGTTCTAATCTGCAGATTAGAACTCACACGCTACAGACAGATTAGAACTAACACGCTGCAGAATAGAACTAACACTCTACAGAATAGAACTAACACTGTGTTAGTTCTATTCTGTAGAGTGTTAGTTCTAATCTGCACAGTGTTAGTTCTATTCTGTAGAGTGTTAGTTCTAATCTGCACAGTGTTAGTTCTATTCTGTAGAGTGTTAGTTCTAATCTGCACAGTGTTAGTTCTATTCTGTAGAGTGTTAGTTCTAATCTGCACAGTGTTAGTTCTATTCTGTAGAGTGTTAGTTCTAATCTGCACAGTGTTAGTTCTATTCTGTAGAGTGTTAGTTCTAATCTGCACAGTGTTAGTTCTATTCTGTAGAGTGTTAGTTCTAATCTGCACAGTGTTAGTTCTATTCTGTAGAGTGTTAGTTCTAATCTGCACAGTGTTAGTTCTATTCTGTAGAGTGTTAGTTCTAATCTGCACAGTGTTAGTTCTATTCTGTAGAGTGTTAGTTCTAATCTGCACAGTGTTAGTTCTATTCTGTAGAGTGTTAGTTCTAATCTGCACAGTGTTAGTTCTATTCTGCACAGTGTTAGTTCAAGTCTGTAGCGTGTGATGGCTTGTTAGTTCTATTTTATTACACGTTATATCTAATTTATACCACGTTATATCTAATTTATGTTAGTTCTAATTTAAACCACGTTATAAACCTAATTTATACCATGTTATATCTCATTTATACCAAGTTAGTTCTATTTTATAACAAGTTAGTTCTAAAATTTTAACCAAGTTTGTTCTAATTTATACCAAGTTAGTTCTATTTTATACCATGTTAGTTCTAATTTATACCAAGTTAGTTCTAATTTATATCAAGTTAGTTCTATTTTATAACAAGTTAGTTCTAATTTAAACCACATTAGTTCTAATTTATACCAAGTTAGTTCTAATTTATACCAAGTTAGTTCTAATTTATACCAAGTTAGTTCTAATTTATACCAAGTTAGTTCTAATTTATACCAAGTTAGTTCTAATTTATACCAAGTTAGTTCTAATTTATACCAAGTTAGTTCTATTTTATACAATGTTAGATCTAATTTATACAAAGTTAGTTCTATTTTATACCAAGTTTGTTCTCATTTTATACCAAGTTAGTTCTAATTTATACCAAGTTAGTTCTAATTTATACCAAGTTAGTTCTAATTTATACCAAGTTAGTTCTAATTTATACCAAGTTATTTCTGTTCTGTAGAGTGTTAGTTCTAATCTGCACAGTGTTAGTTCTATTCTGTAGAGTGTTAGTTCTAATCTGCACAGTGTTAGTTCTATTCTGTAGAGTGTTAGTTCTAATCTGCACAGTGTTAGTTCTATTCTGTAGAGTGTTAGTTCTAATCTGCACAGTGTTAGTTCTATTCTGTAGAGTGTTAGTTCTAATCTGCACAGTG